ACTAAAAATAACGATTAAACTGATAAAAACAGCAACACTTGCAAATAAACTCAGTTTGCACAATAGATAATAAAACACAAAGTCGGCAGGTGTTGATAACAATTGTTTAGAAAAGATATTTGAAATGTCGGTAATATTTGTTCTTTGAGAATCAACATAATTCAATGTCCTTTGTCTCAAAGACAGGAAATTCACTGAAATTGATTAAAAAATTAATAAAGGGAATACACAAGATTTTGTCATGTTTTCATAACATTAATGTTACAACAAAGCACCTTTCCCGGAAAATTCGAAAATAAGTTTTCTAACGGAAATTACGAAAAGAAATGTGCAATGACTGAACATCCGGTTTATTTCTATTCTTTAATATTGTGAAAAATTAAATATTTTAGCCAAATATATGTACGACATTGAGATTTTAATGGATAATATTTAATATGGTAAAACATTTATAAAAAAAAACAAAAAACAATTAAATAGTAATGGCTGTACAAGTGGTCGTATTATACAGAGAAATGTAATTCCTTGATTTTAGCTTTAAAAACACGGAGTCCTATTATACCCAAGTCGTACTATACACAAGAAAATACGATATATATATATATATATATATATATATATATATATATACTGTGTAACCCGGATATAAGAGACCCGGATATAAGAGACCCGGATATAAAAGAAAGCCGGATATAAGAGAGATTTTCTCTGGTCCCAAATTAGAGCCTGTGGTAATGTAAACAAAATAGACCCAACCCGGATATAAGAGAAATCCGGATATAAAGACTTATTCTCCGGTCCCGACAACTCTCTTATATCCGGGTTACACTGTATATATATATATATATATATATATATATATATATATATATATATATATATATATAAGTAATGGATTTTTTATTTATTTACCGGAGAAGATTTTTATTGTTCTAAACGTTATTTTTAGTGGATACTCATATTTGAGTAGACGCCATGTTTTATTTATTAAACAGTAGATTTATTTCTTTTCATCTACCGGCCTGAATATTCGAGAAATATTATTAAAGAAAAATATGCACTCTGTCGGAAAAATAAATAATAATCTGTAAGATTAATAATTTTTTTTAAAAATCCATTATTTCATCAGAAAATTACTTTGTTCACGTTTGGATACGAAACTAATCAGAGACACCCTTGTTCAAATTAATTGAAACCAAACGAATAATTCTATTATTATCTACTCTTTTTTCCTACTTTTTTCAATGAAACATGACCCAGTGTACGAGATAGTACATTGTATGATCATTCCACATAGTCGTTCCTTGCAGATTGACCACAGATTCTCGATTGGATTTAAACAGGAGAGTTTCCGGGCCAATCTATAGTACTTTGATTTGCTCACTGGTAAAGCTTGTCAGTGTGTTCGAGCAGGGTTACAATTTTCGTACGCTTCCTTGGAATAACGTCCATCGTTGACAATGGCCGTAAAACAACTAATCGACAGTCGAGACAATAGTGTCTGGGAGTGATAAAAATCTGCTGCAATTAAGGATGATGAAGCCCCATCTGTTTGTCTCAAGTTCCTTGATAAAATCCAGAGACAGATATGCAATGTAATTGGCCCTGATCTGACATCTCGTCTGCAATCACTCTCTCACAGACGTGCCGTCGCCTCCCTCTGTCTTTTTTTACAAATACTTTCACGGTAGCTGCTCCGATGAGCTGCTTTGGCTGGTTCCCAGACTTTATGAATTTAAGCGTTCAACTAGGCTGGCATCTCGCTCTCACCCTTTCACAGTCGAAACTGTTTCGCGTAGCCGTCTCTTCTACTCCAATAACTTCATGTCTCGCACCTCATGCCAGTGGACCTCCCTCCCCTTTTTTTGTTTCCCTGATAGCTCTAATCTCCAACTATTCAAAAGTAATGTCATTCGACGTCTCCAGATGCCTTGATCTATCCCCTATCCTTCTTTTCATCCTTTCCTCTATCACTCCTCTTTGCGCTTGCTCCAACTCTCTGTAAATCCATTGCGTGTTAGTGGCTTCCCGCCTTGCTGGGGGGTGAAATGATTAAAAAACAATAATTCACTTAAAGGCATTGCTCAGACCTTGCTTGATCGACAAAAATATAATTTCTAGAAATTTTCAGACCGGTAGACGAAAATAAATAAATATAGTGTTTAATAAATAAACGGAACGTCTACTAAAATATGAGTAACCACTAAAAATAAAGTTCAAAAGTGAAATATACATACATACATACATATATATATATATATATATATATATATATATATATATATATATATATATATAACCACTAAAAAAAGTTCAAAGTGAAAATATATATATATATATATATATATATATATATATATATATATATATATATATATATATATTTGATAAAAAGTCAGAGCCAATGGCGTTTTCCCCTTAGGGGATGCTGGTTCGAAATGGAGTTAGATGAAAAGTACTCTTAAAAAAAAAAGAGCTTCTACTCGAATATGAGCAACGGTAATAAATAATGTTAAAAAAAATTAAAAACAAAAATATGTCAGATTTAGTCCGATTCCTAAAATAAATTGACCTTGTTTACGTTAGGATACGAAAAAGAGCAGATATGTATATTCGAGAATCGGCAAAAGGTGTGTCTTCAAAAGCCACTAATCGGACTTTGATCGTCTGTTTTGTCCCATAGTTTAAATGATTTCTTTTCGGATGATAAATTATATTAAAAACTGCCCAATTGATCTTTTTATCCGTGCGCTTTCGTACCGTGTCTGTTGTCTTCAATGAAACATGTATAAATGAGGGATTTCTGCCTAAATACACAATATATATATATATATATATATATATATATGTGAAAATATATAGAAAATAGGAAGGAACTGGTTAGGTAAATAATCCAAAGTCCCTTAGTATTTTAGTTATTATTTTTAAAAAATAGTGCTCGATACAAAAGTAGAGCATAAATATAATTATTTATTTAAAATATGATTCCAAATCGCTACATAAGAAAGGTCTCATGTTTCAAAACAAGAATATCCAAAACTTCAATATAATCCTTTAAATTAAATTGAGTTGAAAATAAAATGGGCTCCGTTCCATCTTCCAATTTAATTTTATTTGGATTCTATTGAAAAATTTTGTTTTGAAACATGAATTATGTAGCGATTTGGAATCATATTTTTAAATATATATATGAACATAATAAAATAGGCAGCATATATTTTATATTACAAAGAGTTAATCATACCTTGAATCAATTAGCAATACTAATGCAATTATTGACGAAATCTCTTCGTTAGTAGACATAATTATAATCATTATACTACTAGTGGATTATTAGTAGTATAATGCTTATAATTATGTCTACTAACGAAGGGATTTCGCCAAAAATTGCATTAGTATTGCTAATTGATTCAAGGTATGATTATTATAAATTAATTGATTTAAAATATGTTTTTTTTCGCTACACAGTTCTAACCATGTTTCAAAAATGGAAGCTAAAAGCTCCGAATTTAATTTTGTAATTAAATTCTTTTATATATATATATATATATATATATATATATATATATATTGGGACTAATATAGATCAATGGCCTGTCGGTTGGCTGGGGCTTCAGACTACACCGACTGCAAGGGAGTAATACACCAATGAGGTGGGTATGACGATAAACTGCATCCAGCAATAAGGCCTCTTACTTCTTAATTGCTGGTATTCCCATTTCCATCCTGACCCTGTGTGGTAACAGCTATGGGCAAGTAGTTAACTCCCAAACTAAGGTCAAGACACTATGAAAGTATAAAATATGTTCTTAATACCATCATTACGTTTTTGGATAAAATTACTACCAACAATACATTATTACCAACAATACATTAAAAAAAATACCAGCCATTTATTTTTGAAGAAAAAATATTTCCAGCAATAAACTATTACCAGCAGTACATTTTTAAAAAGGAAAATTATTACTAGCAATACACTTTGAATAAGAAATATTGCCATCAATAAAAATCTTGCCGGCGTTACCAGCAATACATTAAAAAAAATACCAGCCATATATTTTTGAAGAAAAAATATTATTGCCAGCAATAAATTATTACCAGCAGTACATTTTTGAAAAGGAAAATTATTACCAGCAATACACTTTTGAATAAGAAATATTGCCATCAATAAATATTTTGCCGGCATTAAATAACCCATTGAGATGTTGATATGTCGTAATGCAAAACAAACCAAATCAAATATAGATTAAATATGGATCTGACTCTGACAGAATGATAAGATAAAAAAGAACAAATAGGAAACGTTAATGAATCTAACATGTTTCAGTTTTTTAAAAGCTTCATCAGAGAATTTGATATGGAGAAAAATGAGGAAAAACTTCTGATGTTTTGACTTTTGCATTCTACTGGCTATTATTTTGATTTTACAAATGTAACCCTAATTAAAAAAGAAAATAATTCTTTACGAAGAAAAATCAAATTTTATGCACTAATAAAATGCAATGAATCTTACTATTTAACTCACCAAACTTACCTGTATGCTTTTGTCTATAATGTCTGTAACTCTTTATACCAACAAGGCAAGGGAGATAACTTTTCAATAATCGTGCCAGACTGACTCCATTAAAGAGCAGAGTACAATAATATTATCTATCATACATATTTTCATGATATGCACATTTGTTCTCTACTTGTACAATATCCCCATTTTTATTCCACTATCTTGATGGATTCTTAGGCTGTATATTAGGTGAACAATCGTAAAAAGAAAAAAAACATCTAAGATATACACCTTTATGGATGTTACAGATTGTCGGCAATATGTATGACAAGATATGTTTCAGGTGGGTCTCTACAACTGTCAAACTATATAATGAAGAGAACTTCGGTTACTTCATCTACGCGAATTGGTGGATTAACACAAGGGAATTGTGCAAGGGGTTTCAACTTTGGCTTCAATGAATATGAAATGATTTTGGCAAAGATGAGATTTATAGAACCTGTGCCAGGTGGATCCCACGGATTCTTACAAAAGAATGCGGAATGGAAATCTGTAAGGATCTGCCGAAACTCTGCGAAGCGGAAGGCGACAAATTCTTGCATTGGATCATCGCCGTTGACGAGACGAGATTTCACGGTGTTTTTATGTTCGATCTAGAATCAAAGCGACGACCCATGGAATGGCGACGTGCGAATTCAAAGGAACCAAATCAAGATGCAGACATCAGCTGACAAAGTGATGGACACTGTGAACAGCGTGTTCCTACCGGATTTTCTGAGAAACGCAGGAATCGTCAACACTGACTGAATTTATAGATTCAGGCCAGAAAAAAAGACAAACGTTCGATTGGAACACGGCTCTAAGAAGACCCGCCATTATGTTGCCTACTTAGGATGGACTATCAGATCAGAAACACCGTATAGCCCGGATTTTGCGCTTCGTGTCTTTTATATATTCGGGCCGATGAAAGGTGGGAAAGGCGGACATCTTTTTTTCTGGCAACAAAACCGTTATCCAGGATGTCTCTGTTGATGTTGTTTTTACAAGCACGACTTACAAACTCTTATTCAGTCTTGGTTAGGTGGTTGATTTTGATTAGCGGAACATCAACACCTCTATGGGTTATTTAATGCCGAAATATACATATTTTGAACACAATATCATGGCTTCAACTAAATACATTTTGAACACAATTGTATGCCTTCAACTACAGGTAAATATAAATGAATGTATTGTTGGTAATTTGATGTATTTTGGTAGGTTGATGTTGTTTAGTTATTTACGATCGCCTGAAGTACTGAAACCTGAAAATTTTTGTGTAGCGATGTAAAATGTTTTTAATCTAATTTATTATAATAAAAATATTATAATATATATAAGTGACAGAAATACATACATATAGATAGATATTGAGAGAGAGAAAGATAGATTAGAACAGAATGAGTTTGAGACATACGTAGAAACAAAGATATGCGCTGATAACAATGAATAGATACGGAAACATATATATATATATATATATATATATATATATATATATATATATATATATATATATCAGTAAGAGGACTCGATTTGATTTACCGAAGGTCTTACATTATTAGCCATAATAGTCACTGTTTTACACTTCCTCCCCAGAGAGCTCAACCGAAATAAATTTTTCAAGATCATATATATTGTCATCCACAGACAGACTGTTTAGCTGTATAACAGTTCATCAGTGTAGCTGGACGTCCGGTATATATTTATTGTAATTATCTAGACACGTGACATGTGTCTGACCAACGAGAACTGACCCAAACATATTTGAAAATTTCAATGTTTCTCCCTTTCTCTCAATCTCTGATGAAACTTTAATAAAAGTGAAACATGTTAGATTGGGTGGGGGCATACCCCCTTTAACTTACGAATAGAAGTAGAAATTTGTTCTTAAATGTTTCTAATAAACCAATTTTATCACAAATTATCTAGCATCACCTGAAGAAGTACCATCTTAGTACCGAAACATGAAAGTTTTTGTGTAGCGATGTAAAATGTTTTTATTGTAATTTATTATTATAAAATATTATAATAGTTATATGTTTGTGTGTGTGTGTGTGTGTGTGTGTGTGTGTGTGTGTGTGTGTGCGTTTGCGTGTGTGTATGTGTGTGTGTGCGTGCGTGTAGGGGAAATTCTCCATATTGTAGATAGATCATTTATAAAAAAAACGATTTAAATTGAGGATTACATTGAAACTGAGAGTCGCAAGACAGTGTTGATTCCTACGTTCACACACACACACACACACATCACACACACACACACACACATATATATATATATATATAAAAAGAAAGTACAGTAAGATATATAATCCGATGTTCTTATAGATATTTTTATTTTTTACAAAATAGTGCTCAATGTAAATTTACAGAGCATTAATATTATAAATTAATTGATTTAAAATATGTTTTTTTTTGTTACACAGTTCTAACCATGTTTGAAAAATATTCGGCGCTTTCAGCTTCCATTTGTGATACATGGTTAGAACTGTGTAGCGAAAAAACATATTTTAAATCAATTAATTTATAATATATATATATATATATATATATATATATATATATATATATATATATATATAAAGAAAGAAAGAAAGAAAGAAAGAAAGAAAGAAAGAAAGAAAGAAAGAAAAACAACGAGGGAAAGAAATCATAAGCAAGGAAAAGAAAATTCAGCAAGAAACAACAGAGACCTACCTAGGCAATAAGCCGAATGTGCTCACTGCCTCTAGGAAATGGAACAAAACAGAGGAGAAGAAGAGGGAAGAGCACAAATAGGCTACATCAAATTTGTTACACCGAAATTCTCGCAACGTCACCATCAGACATCAACAAATTAAAATTTAAGAGTTTGTCGTCTAATGATTGCATTGCGACAAAATCTTTGAGTTGTTTCTTTGATTAATACATACCCACACATACATAAATACATAATATTCAAAGGAAAGATGAATGGTAGATTTATAAATATATAAAATAGATTCTGGCGAGAAAAAATGTCTACCACGACACAGGAAACAAACTTTCCTAGCATAAGATTTAGCAATTGATTCAGTATAATATTTCCACTTCATATCAGGCACAATGAAATACTCTCCTGGAGATTATCCTCAGCCATACTGATGGAAGGCAAGAGGCTTTTCACTCAGACGATTAAAAGCGATCGTTTTCATTTTAGAGGCGTTAAAATTAACAAGCCATTTCTTGCCCCCGCTAACAACACATTCCGGTTTTGTAACCAATTCGGTTTTGTCTTCCGGCGAAATGGGATATGAAAGACCATCTAAGAATCCGTCTCCCAAGTTGTTTTTCTACGGAAATAACCGTAGAGAGGCATTGGCATGTCCTGATGTCTTCGGTAAATGCCAGTAGAACGGAGTAATTTTTCTGAAGCTTTTTGCTCTTCTTAATAAACTTGTGATAAGAATTCGTTGCCATAAACAGAACTTAATCCGTCTGTTTTGTAAACCAACACTAAAACCTCACGCGAAAAGTGTAAAGGCAAGATTTTCAAAGATATTTTTGCCATTTGGTCATGACAGAGAAATTTTGACAGCGGGTAAATCATAACATATGTATCGCTGGGGATTTTTTTTCTTCTGTTACGTGGAGAAGGTGGGTTAAATTGGACGAGTGTTGGACGAACCTTTTAATGGAAACTTCATCCATCAATTTTGTCATATTTTCTCGCAATTTGAAACTATTCCACGATAACTAAATCTGACATTTTTATGCTCCAATGATTTTAGGTCAAAGCAGGACAGACGATAGTGAAATATTGTAAGTGTTAGTGCACCAACTGAAGCTTATATCAGGTTTGAAAAGGTCCGCATATCGCGAACATATTTCGCGAAAGAAAACTTTTATCGTCCGCCTTGTGATATGGGAATCAGGCGTAAGTAACAAGTAACCATTTATCATTCTATCCTGATATCTGTTTACGTATCAAACCCTGCAATAAACTTACGTCATTGTAGACATTTGCTGTCAGCAAATGGATGAGCCAAAAAGTGCAAATTGCAAATCGAGGATACCAAAATCAGACAAATGTGGAAATTTAAAAAAAAATGTCGGAAGTTCTTTTAATAGAGAACGGAAAGAAACAGAATTCAGAAGGCGTATTGGTATAGCCAAAGAAGCATCCAAAAAGCTAAGCAGAGTAAAAGGAAATAGGAAAATTTCGCTAGAAACAAGGAAAAGAGTACGAAACTGCTATGTGATATCTGTCCTTCTATTATATACTGTACATATGAACACTAATGGGTATGTCCCAGTCCTCATAAATAACGTTGAACACTACTCAAATTGGGGTAATATGCTGTATAAGTAGTCCATCACTAGCGGTAGTTTACCTACTTTACGTCGCTGGCGAGTATTGTATTTTGTTGATGTTATAAAGGTTATCATTTTATTTCCAACCCCCGTTTTGGTTATTCCCGATTCAGTAACTTTTTTTCTAGGTTACAACAGAAAAAGGAAATAAAGAAAGAAAGAAAGAAAGAAAGAAAGAAAGAAAGAAAGAAAGAAAAAAGAAAGAAAGATAAATGGTTACTTAATATGCATATAAATACTATGCTTTCGATCTTCTTCCAAGATCATCTTCTGGAGTGCAAATGCTACAAAACTATGTTGCTCATTAGTATAAGTATTTATATAAAGATGTGCGTTGTTTTACATTACCGTATTTTTTCCATTTTATGCTTTTAAATGCAAAATGGTTGACAATGTGCTGAGCGTCCATTAGAACATGAAAAAAATTATCCATTATGGGATTTTTTATTCTATGTTATCATGTCATGGTAACGCGCGTATTAAAGCATGCAAAAAACTGTTTCTTTACAGGCATTTCAGAACATTACTGCAGTATTCATAGTTAATTCTGTTCAGTGCCGGCTTTAAATTTTTTAATATAAATTGCTTCTAGTATTTTTTCATGATGTAGTATAGATGTGTTGTCGATTAGTAATGTTCTATATTGTTGAACTTATAGTTCTGTACCACTTACACCCCTGAAGATGATCTTGGGAGAAGATCGAAAGTACTTGGGAAATGAAAATAAAAGAAATTTAAACAGCTATAGCACATTTCTCTCATCCTTTAACATCAATACACGGAAAGTTATTTGTGAGTATGAAAGGATTTTATTAAAAATTATCAAGCCTAATGTCTTTAATTTATTCAATCAGACATGTCTAAAAGAGAATTTGTATATATATATATATATATATATATATATATATATATATATATAGTGTAACCCGGATATAAGAGACCCGGATATAAGATAAACCCGGATATAAGAGAGATTTTTCCGGTCCCAAATTAGAGCCTGTGTTAATGTATATAAAATAGACGCAACCCGGATATAAGAGAAAGCCGGATATAAGAGACTTCTTCTCCGGTCCCGACAACTCTCTTATATCCGGGTTACACTGATGCAGATACTAAAAAGTACAACAATATTGGTGTGATTAACAGATAACTTGACAGTCAGCCTAGTACCTTAGATAAGAAAAAGAAAATCCCGAACAAAGAAAGAAAAAAAAATAGATCAAAAGACAATGACCTCCCTACTCAGCCAAGTAACGTGCTCAACGTCTCGACTAGCTAGACAGGGTAAAAACGCTTCATAACGTCAAAGCCCAACAAAGGTACAGCTGGTATCGTTACTCACGTTTCGCGTTCTGACTATCTTCAGATGACCAGAACGTAAATGAAAGACGTAACACTTTTTAAGCTATTACCTCAAAAGGAAACAAATGTATAAACCTGTTATAACACCGGCCTTTTCCGGGGGTAAAAAGAAAATAAGCAAAGAAAAAAATACCCGTGGGTGGGCCTAACCAGCCAAAGTGACTAATGTGGTCAGGGTGATGACACTAGTCATGTGGCAGGTAACACAATTAGTGTCTTATTCTTTGCCTATATCTACTGATTAATTATGACTTTTTATTTAGTATTTTAGTATCGCTGGTAAAACTTAGTCTTGCCAACTTTTATTCTAGACAAAGCCTATTACGATCTCTAGTATTCCCTACACTACTTTTCTTACAATTTCTCCAAGTAATTTTGGGGAACTTACCTACTTCTTATATAATTTTCCGCTAATAGTCTAAAAGTACCGGCGCATTTTCATATTTATTATGTTTGAAACTCAATTTATGATTATAATATCTTCTTTCCATTCATTTTCCGTAGTTCCTATATATAATTTCTCCTCATTAACACTATTCCTATTTTTTACTTCTGTTTTCGCTAGATGAACTATATTTTCAGCTAGGCAGTTTCCTTCCAAAGGACAACCTCTTGACATTGTACAGTTATACTTCCGTTTCTTCTGTTTACCCACATTCTCTCTGTGTTTCTAATGTAATGGAATAACGAGTCACCTCCATGAATGATTGCACTATAGATAGCAAGTACCTATAAAGTCAACCGTCTACGAGAGACAAGGGAGAGAACTGAGAGCAAGACGACGCAAGCACGCCCGACCTTCCAATGAGTGGCACTCATTATTAGATTGACCTGTGTGTATAACTGTATCGTATTTCATATTGTACTGATTGTGTACCATAAACCTTTCTTCTAGTATCCACTTGGTGTTATGTGTTTAGCACGAAATATTTCCTTAGTTGTCATATTGTTAATAATTAATATTTAATAAATATTTATCGTACTGACTATATTGGTACCCTTTCGTTTTTTCCTGTTTTATTAACCAACCTATCTATTATATATATATATATATATATGTGTGTGTGTGTGTGTGTGTGTGTGTGTGTGTGTGTGTGTGTGTGTGTGTGTCCGCGCTAAAACTTTCTCAACCTTAAGATAAAGAAGTGGTATTCGTCAGACGAATGTAATTTTAGAGCATAGCTCTATTGACGGAATACTCGGAGAAGAATTCCAACAGCTTGCGAGATCAGCAGACACATCCTCTATCTACTATCAGTGCTTTGGCCAGAAATAAGATGAAACGGAATTGCATACATGCAAGTATATATCTAAACTGAGATAGATAATAAAAATGATTTTGCAAAAGAATAAAAAGCAAAAAAACTCCAATACCGATAAGAATTGATATAAAATTCTTCATTCTTAAAATATTTAGAATAATTTGACTGATAGTCATAAACTTCACACGGAACAGATATCCGTATTAATAATATAAGTACCAGCAATTCTAAAAAGAAACAATAAAGAAATATTTAAGAAAATCGAAGGCATTTATTGGTCGCCTGTATGTTTAAATAATATCAAAAGTACAGATTGTTTTTTGTCGTCTGCTTTTACATATTTCTCCGTACGTTTCCTATCTTTTTACTCTGCTGATATTTTATTTTATTCTGTTTTTGGGAGTTGACATTAGTTTACTTCAAATTTTTTCAGTTGTTTTTAGCGAGAAACGTGTAGTTGTTTTGTTACAAAGAAATTTCACTAAAACATATTGTTTTGTTTCGATCGCACTTAAAATTCAAAGCTCGGCGTCCATTTGTTATAGCGGAAAGTGACGTGCAAGCCGCTTGGCATCGCTTACATTAAGTTGCTGTTCAAATAAGATTTCTAATCTCAAGACAACAACTTTGGCTGGGTTGGCGGGAAAACGAATAAGAAAGAGAAAAAGACGCATGGTTATGGATGTTAAAAAAAGGAGAAAACAAATTTCTAAGTCTTCATTCAATTTCTTTTCCTTTTCCTGTAACAGGCACACTCTCATATATTAACTTGAAAAAAAAGAAACATATATGCATACGAACACAAAAAAGACACATATACACATACAAGCACAAATACCTACACATGAACACGCAAAATCATACTCACATAGCCATACAAGCACACACTCATAACCGCTTAAATACACGCGCGCACATAACCGCACATAAATAACGACACACACATACGCACATACCTATAAAAACACACACACACACACACACACACACAAAAGACATAAACACCAACGCATACAGATATGTCCACACAAAAGCACACATGCAAACACACATAACCATAAAAAATATGTAAGCGAATGGGAATGCATAAATACGCACACACATAAAAACTGGCAAAATACATATACACACACATATATATAACCAGCCAAACATATACACACATAACTACACAAGCACATAACAGGGAAACACACATACAAGCACACATATAAAATACATAAAAACACACATAAACCAGCTATACACACACACACACTCATGACTGCACAAAAATAGATACACATAAGCTCACAAAAATATTCACATCAACAAACACACACATATACACAGAGATAGGCAAACGCATATACATACAGTCAAAGACGCAAACGAATCATAGATACGTACACATAAAATACACAAAACACATAAACACACGTAGCTATACAATTACATACGCACACTCACAAACATATAAATAGACGGGCGCACACACGGACAAACGCACACATTCGTATCCAGACAAACGCATGCCGACACACGCACACACATACACAGACGCAGAGACCCCCACACCACGACACAGAAACATCCCAGACATACGCCCAACATATATTTAAACATTTGCCGATAAACACACACACGCCTAATCAAAAGAAAGCATCAAGTACAAGTCTGTCATTCATTTTTGTGAATTTCATTTTATATGACGAGCGATCGAAATATTATTGGATATATACAGCTTTCTGCTAAAAGTATTCGCCAGCGAAATTATTTTTCTACCTTTTTTTTTGTTGAAATAAAGTTAGTCACTACAACATGTTCTTTTAAGAATCACTTAATTCTAATTGATGTTATGTCTTCATTTACAGCCGAATATTTATGCGAAATTGATAATATATTGTGGAAATAAAAAGATGATATTTTTTTCTTTCAACGCAAGCGTCGTTCCCATAAGGTTTGCTTCTTGAGCTAACCTTCTTTCTACGCAAGGAAGAAGGTTGAATCTTGAAACTGATCTGCCTAAGTGTAACCTTTTTTCTTTTTTTTTTTTACAGTAAGGTTCAACTTGAACAAGGCCCGGGAGCGACTCGAGTTAGAGGGTTACGTTAAGGAATAGTTTATATGGATAGGAGGGGGACGATAACGGTTGACTCTAGACTTGAACAAGTTAGAATTTCAGGGATCAAGAGAACATTGTTCTTGGAAGTCTGTTCCACAGGGCAGAGGTTCGCGGGAAGAAGCTGTTTGAGTGGAACTTTCTTCTCACCAAAGGAATGTAGGTGGTTTGTTTCTATGTAAGTGGCAAGGCGGGTTCAAGCCTACTTCGATCATTTGTATTTTCTACGGTTTATCAACCTTTTGTTGGTTAGTTAAAGCCAGAAAATATTTTTAGATTGTGAGAATTTCTCAGATAATAATGATTTTGTGATACAAGTGTTATTATTTAACCCATAGCTGGGAGGAGAAGAGGTGGATTTATACTTAATCAGAATTAACCTATAGCTCAAGTTTTGAGTGCTTTATATGATTCTGGTCAAAGTTTCATCGCTTTCCTTCAAGATGAGTGATCGTGAGTTAGGTTTTCTCAGATAAACGTCGTTTGAGGAATCCAAATAAACAACGAAGTGGAAAATGGGGAAAAGCTGGTGCTGGTCCTCATTTTTCTTAATGCTTGATCTCTGAGAGAGGTCCTCTGCCTTGAGCGCCTATTGGGCCTTAAATTCAAACCAGATCCAAAGTGGAACTAGTATATACGAACCATCGCTAATGTTTTATCCTTTTTTATTATTTCTTTAGATAATAATGATTTAGTGATACAAGTCTTACTAATTAACTCATAGATGGGGGAGAAAAGGTGGATTCATAGCTTTCCAAAGTGTATTATCGTGTAAGAGAATATAATTAACCCAACTGAAATTAGAACTCGGCTCTCAAATTAACAATTCCGAGCCATTATCACACTAACTGCACAGCCAAGATTACAGCACCTGACGTTGCTAATCAAACGGAAACCGGTTTTTTAACATTATATGATTGTAAAACTTACGATCATTTCTGAATAACTATGTTGACAGGGCGGCTTACAGGTGCACCTCTAAAAGCCTAAGTAACTAAAGCTTGACACTTGATCTTTCCTCGTCTAGATCAATAGCGGTTGGGGAGAGATTATCTGGTCATATTCAATGCCTTGAAAGTCAAACTACTGACCGAGTGGATCCAGAACATTCACTAATCGTGATGAATAAATGTTCCCTCAGAGAGGCCCCCGTGTCTTGAGCGATTATTGGACATTAAACTCAACACAGAAGATACAGAATAAATATTACATTATATTTTTTTAAAGTCATTCATTTTCATTCGTTTCTTTCATCACGAAAAACGCCAGCTTAGCTGAGAAAAGTACTAATGATTTCTTATTTAAGTATAAACGCAAACACACATATTTCTTTCTTTCGTTTTTGGATCGGATGAAGCCTAGAAAGGCGAAACACGTAATCAAATCTAGTTTCAATGAAACGGTTTTCCATTTGTCATATTAAATCTTTTACTCATTTTTTTCCGAAGTCGCGAAGTGGTTTCTAATTAATGTCAAATATATTCCTCATATGCTAGTTTTTAGCGATTTACAATATGGCGGGTTGATATGATAATCCTAACCCTATCCCGTTCATCTTTTTTTGCTGTTTACAAACTTTGAGCTTGTTTTTGTGTTCACTTTCACTTAAGGCTTCCTTGTAGACTTTTTTTTAACTTTCTCAGATGTCTTCGTTTTTTGAGTTAGTATAGAAAATCTAATGGCTATTGAATCATAAAAATATTTAGTAACGATCGAAGGTGGGGTAAATTATCTGGTCACATTCAATGCCTCGAAAATCAAACTATTGACATTGTACCATCG